CATTGACTTGTGTTATTACTGTTCTTGAACTTTGGAGTTGGTCTCTTATATTCTTGCTCCTCCGAGCCATTCTGAGAACTTCAGCTAGAAAGATCCTTCCAGCAGCTGGGAGGTGGATCATGCTTCCTTCCTAGCCTTTCCAAACCTGCTCTGCTGGCCTTTACCTCCCATTTATTTATTTATTTATTTATTTATTCATTCATTCATTTATTATTTGTTTTTTTAAAGACACGGTCTCTCTGTGTAGCCCTGGCTGTCCTGGAACTCGATCCATAGACCAGGCTGGCCTCGAACTCACAGAGATACTCCTGCCTCTGCCTCCCGAGTGCTGGGACTAAAGGCGTGCACCACCACCACCTGGCTCTACCTCCCTTTCTACACCGCCCAATCTGCTCACTTTCCAACAGTGTCTCCTGCGTGTCTGGTGAGGCAGCTCTCTCCAGCCTCAGAGCCTGGGCCTTTGCCCTCTCTCTCTTACTGGGTGACTGAGGCTGAGAGGGGTCTTCTGCCCCTTCAGTCTTTGGAGTGGCTGCTGTTCTTACCTGTTGTATTTGGAATATAGCTGTCCCCTAGAAAAGTCATGTGGAAAAACAAAGGGGAGGGGGCGAGGTGGGAATCTAGGGCTCCACGCATTGAAACAAATGTTCTTCTACTGAGCTATCTATCCCCCAAGTCAATGCGATGCCAATCATTGTGGCAGTATTGAGAATGGTATTTAGGAACTGGGCACAGAGGCAGGAGGATCAGGCATTCAAAATCACCTTCAGCTACAGACAAAAAAAAGGGGGGGGGTGTCAGCCTGGGCACCATGAGATTATATAAGACGAGATAAAACCGAAACAAACCAACAAGTGGTCAGGAGCCACGTCCTCCCACCACAACACTTGGGAGGCTGAGGCAGGAGGAACACACAATTGAAACCAACCAGTCTGGACTGTATATGAAGCTCTCCCTGTCTTTAAGCAACAACAAAAAAAATTGATTTAGTAATTAGGAGGAATGAGTGCCTGTCCCCAGGGAGATGCCGCTCTCCTGGGGCTGGATGAGTTGCTGTAAGAATGGGCCACTATGAAGCAACCTATCTGCTGCATTCTGCCACGTTCAAATCAGCGCCCACTTGTGCTATGAACAGCGTGGGGTCCTCACCAGAAACTGTGCTTTGGACGTCCAGGGCTCCAGAACCATGAGTCAAGCTAAACCTCTTTTTCTTTAAAAGTTATCAGTGTCACATATTCTGTTACAGCCACAGAACCATGCCAAGTCACTCTCCCTTTTTAAGGAGCTCCCAAGCCACACAGCATGACTCTGTAGGCCCATTTCCTTTAATGCCCACTCCACCCTTAATTTTACTTAATCTTCCTATGAGACAAAACCTTGTGAGACCAGAGGCCTTGCCGATCTGATTGGCCACTTTCAGTACCCATCAATGTCCGGAATAACCAGAGACAGCACAAGCAAGCCTCTGTTGAGTGAATGGAGAGGAACCAAGGAGCACCTTGAAGGTAGGAAGGTATCATGGGACCCATCCTGAAGTTCCCGTGACAGGTCCCTGCGGGCGGCAGCAGAACGGAGCTGACTTGGCGCCCTCTGGAAAACCCAGGCCAGAGCCGGCCTCTACCGGGTGCCATGTGCTGAACTTCTGGCTCAACACACACATCTCCACCTCCTCCCGCCACAGCTGAAGCTCGGTCACTGCTGCTGGGTGATTTTAAATGCACCCTGTAATTAAAGACCTTTCCTATTCCTTGGCTCAGTGCCTGTGGAAGAAAATGCCTCAATCTAATCTCCAAATAGAGGGTTGCTTTCAACTTACTTTTCCTTGGCGTCAGTGGAAGGCAAAGTGCTCCAGTCTAAACAGCTTAAAGCGCACAAAGACAGCAGGCTTTCGAATTGCTCCTCTCTACAATATGGTCTCTCATTCACAGCTGAAGGCAGGGCTGCATACTGAGCTATACCCACAGCCTAGAACACACTTCTACAATGGCTCACCTAAGTAAGGCCTTTCCCCACCCTCTGCTGCTATCTTAACGCCTCCGGCTGGATTTCACTCTCGGTAAAAGAACAGGAAGTTCTTGGACCTGCCTTCAGGTTTGGTAACAGCAATGGTTACAGGAAGTAGGTGGGTGCCAGAGAAAAGGAAGAGCTTCTTAGGGCTGGGGTTTCCTTTAGCCTTGAAACCCAAGCCCCGAAGTAAAACGGCACAAGGGTCTGACTTTGGAAGGCCCAAATCCGTAGGAATGCTGTCACACAATAAAGATGCTAGGAAAACCTGGGCCTCCTCTAGAGAGCGCCTCCTCTGAGATCAATGCAAAATCTGGGCCTAATCCAGGGAAACCCAACAAGAGCCCCATTTCTCCTCCCATTTCAAAGGAGTGCAAATCAGCCTCAAGGGGTGGTGACTTGAGCCACGCCACCAGGAGAGGGCAGCTAAGCAAGAACTGGCTCTGAAACAGATGCACGTATGTTTGTATCTGTCACGTATCCCTGTCGGGCTGTGGGGGATGGGCTCGTCACCCGGCACTGTAAAGTGTGTAGGAGGCCATGGCAGCCTGCTGTCAGTGTGTAGCAGCCTGGGCTCTCCTAACCCGGTCAGGGTAAGCCATGCTGAGAAGAGGAAGGGTATCTGCAGGGACAAGAGGCAGGCATTTGGCAAGAAAGACTCATTGTTCCGGGTAGGATATGGGCCTTCGGCAGTGCAATATGGGAGAAGAGAGCCCTGTCCCACCAAGGAGGGCAAGGAGTGTCCTCTGCAGGTACCCAAGACCTCGAACATTCTAACGTCCATAACCGCCAGCCCACTGCTACCTGTGGCCATGCAGAGCTTTAGCTTTCCTTACACTTGCTTTTTCTTATTTGCTTCAGTCCAGTGGTTTGCTGTTTCGTTTCACTTTGTTTGGGGTATCAGAGACGGAAGCCAGGGCCCTGCACATGCTATTGCGCATGCTCTATCACTGAGCCGGATTCCTAACACAACGAGGTAGGTGAGCTATGCT